CCTAAATAAGGTAAGGGAGGGGGGTTTAGCTTATTTAGGCCACAGATGTGGCCTAAATAAGGTAAGGGAGGGGGGTTTAGCTTATTCAGTCCACAGGTGTGGCCTAAATAAGGTAAGGGAGGGGGGTTTAGCTTATTCAGGCCACAGGTGTGGCCTAAATAAGGAAAAGGAGGGGGGTTTAGCTTATTTAGGCCACCTGTGGCCCAAATAAGGTAAGGGAGGGGGGTTTAGCTTATTTAGGCCATATGTGGCCTAAATAAGGTCACCCTTTAAAAATATATGAAAGCACGAAATACTGTCATAAGAAAGATTTTAAAAGACCAATTTAAAACTGAGAATGAAATTACAGACTGAGTGAAACAGAAAGCTATTCATTATTTTACCACTATAAACATCTCTCACTCTTACATGAATGTGATTTTGTATGTAATTTATGAAATCATACTCCTTCATTTGCTTGCTTTCTCTCTTTCTATCCTTCTTTCTCAAATTGTTTGTAAGTGTATGTCCTTTGGGGAGGGGTGGTGGATGGGTTGAGAACTTGATTTGTATCAAAATATTATATACTCCGTGAATGACTGAATGATCATAATTCATTATCTTACTCTTTTTGTGTCTCAGATTCTGAAAATTACTCTTTGCCATTTATAAGTAGAATGATACAATGGTGGGGAACTGTTTGTTAAGTTTTCATTTTCTCTTTAGAAGACTCTCCCACTCTTCGTTAGAGTTCAGTTTGCAAACAATTTCTCCTTATGTATATCAGAGGCTTCATACTGCATTAACAGTTTGGTCTTCTTTTTGTCTACCCGACCTGACAGTTTTGTGAACAGCAATTTTGGCAAAATCATGGAGGAAAATGTGATCCTCAAATTCCACTTTATAGGGTCTTCGTTGATATAATGATAAAAATTGCAGTTCTGAAAATGTCTTTTATTTAAAGCTGGCTCTCAATGACGCTGTGCATACTACTATCAACTTGCATAATATGAGTGTGGCCTCTAATAAGATTTTGTATTCAATTTCGGTGTTTGCTCTAGTGGAAAAGGCACTCACGGCATTAGAAATGGATGCAATTTTGTGCTGATACACACAAACACACACACACCCGTAGCTGTATAATAATATATTGTTATAACCTTGTATGCATTTGTGCACGTTGAAAAAAAGTCCATCAAACAACTTGTGAATTCATTTGCAATCAAACCACCTTGTGCCTTTTGTCATAAGTAATAGAAGGCACCATACGAGGTCGCATTGAAGATTATGTGCATGTTTCTGTAACAAGAGCTGGATGAATTAATAGACAATGACAAAGTACACCCTGAAGATTCAGGCAAATCATCACAAGGTCTTCTTGTCTAAGAGCAAATGTTTTATCCATTGCGTGCCCTTTCTTTGACATGTTCTTTTCTGACATGTGAGATTCCCACTTAGTCTGGCTGACGCTGTCAAGACTCAAAACTCATGCACAATTCATATTGATCTTTTTTTGACTCATAGATCGACGTGTTCTTTTCATCTATCACATATTTGAGAAGCCTGACATGCAAGGCAGATTGTCCCTGACCTGTGCAGGCGGTTTCAATCTCCCACTGATTACAGAATCGGGGATCAAGATACAGTTTTCCAGAGCTTTGCTGGCAATAGTGAGTGGGAACCTTCAGATGCATGTCCTCAGATGTGAGCAGAAACTCCTTGGCTTGCACGTCCCTTGTGGATTGTTTGGTGGTGCAGCTGGGTTAGGCTCTTCTAAAGTACTCGTCACAAAGTTCTGGAGGATCCAGGCTGTCATCAACAAGTGCCTGAGGAAGTTGGACAGACAGAGTCACCAATGAGGAAGTACTGAGCTGAACATTTTCAAACTGAAGAAAGCAGTGGAGATGGATTGGACTGAGCATACCATCTGGAAAGAGGGCAGCTACATAACGAACAAAGTTTTAACTTGGAGTCCACAGGTTAAAACGATCAAGGGAAGGCCATGTGGAACCCGTAGAAAAGTCGCAGAGAATGATGAACAGAAAAGTGGAAAGACATTTGAAAAATATGAAGAAGTTAGCCCATGGTAGTGAATTGAGGAAGGTGTTTGTCCGTACGGGGTGAGCCAGGTGATGATGAAACTGGCATGGGCTCTTTTAGAGCAATTTACAATGGGAGAGCCAGGTCATAGATATCAACATCCTGCAAACTATGATCTTCTGGTCATTCTGTTTCAGATAATAAACCCAAGTGTGCATCTTTCAGCTTGGTGTATCGCATTTGCTTAAATTGTACTCATTTGTGTTGAGAATACCATTTACATAGGACTTTCTGTCTCCCCGTGTCAAAGTCCAAACAAAGACAAAGATAGTTTTTGGCTTTGTCTTTTAATAGTGAGTAGTCCATTGATTTGATTGAGCAATCATATCTGGGTTTCAGTTCATTAGTTTTTATTAATCGTCCTATGTCTTGATTTGTATTGCTTATTGCGCCCCCCCCCTCTCTTTCTCTCTCTTTCTCTTTCTCTCTCTCTCTCTCTCTCTCTCTCTCTCTCACTCTCTCTCTCTTTCTCTTTCTCTCTTACTCTCTCGGAGGTTAAAAAAGCACCTTTGATCTGTTCCAACACATCGTGTACTTTGAATGACACTTTTTTTCCATAGAAGTCTGGTTCTTCTACTATTTTCGTGCTGTATTTTCTGTAGCTTTCTTTGATGTCCAAAGTGGTTCACATTGCTCCGCTTCTCAAAATTCCTTTACTCGTTAGGGAACTCTGTTGTCAAATCAAAAAGCTTTCAATGTCATACACGTTTGGGTTGTGATACAACACGGAAATATACACGTATTTTATACTTGACTACGTCAATTTTTTATTTTTTAATTTTATTATATATATATTTTAAAAAAAATTTTTTTGGGGAAACAAGCAAGATAAAAAATGTATAGCCCCTACTAGAAGGACACACATTCCAATTTGACAGTCGTTGTGAAACAATACCAGTCCTGCATCTACGAGATACACATTTTAATTATGTGACAGAGAGATTTTCTCGCAAAACACATGCAATCGACATCATAAATGATTATCTTTTGCCTGGAAACTGTGAATACTGACCGACCATTATGTTTGCTCAACGCAGTTGCCCATATTTCAATGGTCTAAAGAGGCGTTCACGGCGCGAACGGTCAGCCCCGCAAGTCATAAACTGACTGATGAGATCGTGAATTCCACACAGGTGTGGGATTCACGGTTTCATCAAGCAACTTTTGGGGCACGGTGTTTATTCACGATTTTTTTTATTACGTCAGATTACACGTTTGAGTTGAGATAATTGAAAAATAGTTTTACAGGGACATGTATCTTACCGAGCACTATCAAAATATGCAAAGAAACGATTTTAGAAAATTTGTGGAATTCACGGTTTTATCAGGCGACCAACCAGTGGCGTGGCTCTCCAAGCGCAAATGGCGCCATGGCGCCACCCTTTGAAATGGAGAAAAGATTTTCAAAAAAGGGTGTACGATGTTCCAAAATTAACAAAATATCACAATATTTTTTTCAAACCAACCTCTTGTTCCTAAGTACTCCAGTCTTTAGTTAAGGTGTCTATTATTAGGCTAGTGGGAGGAGGGCGGGTAAGCCTCCCGTTGCCGGTCGCAAGTGTCTCCCCCCGTTTTTCGTTCCATTCGTCTGACGTCAGGGAGGGCGCCGAACCCAGATCGGCCCAACCTGAACCAGTGTCTCTGCCTGAACCCATCTGGGTGTTCATTGTTTATGTGTGACGTCTGGTAAAAATAATTCAAAATGACCTATAAACTATTTGATTCAATCAGTTGAAAACAGGGTTTTCTTTCCAAGAATAGCAAAAAAGTTTCTTTAATACCCCATCCAGACGTTTGACAGAAGACAAAAAAGATATCACCAAGAACATAACTCAGCTAAAAATACTGCAACAGGTACTCCCATCACATTAAGAGATTGTACTGTTGGGCCAAAGGGCCAAGATGGATTTGGCGCCTGTATGGTTGGGAGGGGATGGTGTGGTAGTTAGCCTGGACATGGCCACATGGCATGGTTGCGAACTATCTAAAAATAGGTTTTATTGTCTGCTTTCTAGAAACCAGAACTGCAAGGAATCAGGGAATGGGGTCATTATGTGAAGACGCCCCGAGGGCAATAGTGCGTGCGAGTTCTTGACTGTGAATGTGTGCTTTTCTGTTGATCAGTTGGAAGTTATTGTTTTGTGTGTGATTACGATGTGATGTGATTATGCGCATCTTGAGCGCTGAACTCTCTCTCGATCTATATAAAAATTGTACCAGCACTTATCTATTCTTCTCGCATGGAAGTAGGTGTCCCTATATCAGTATTAAAATTAAATGAACAGGCGTATATAGTAGGTCTGCAGTTTATAGGCCTGTAATAAGTAGGCAATACTATTCGTTGTGATAAATTTGTTCTTGGCGCCCCTTCTCTGGAAGTCACGCCACGCCCCTGCGACCGACGATGTGGAAAGTCAAATGGTGGTGGAAGTAATGCTGATCCTGTAATGGTGGTGGAAAGACCCTGAGTTGTCGGCTATCGTGTACGTAGACACTGCCATTGGGCAATGAGAGTGCAGTCTTTTGATTTTGACTCAATTACACAGTCCTAGTAGGTAATTCTAGCTCTAATTCTGGCTTTACGTAAAATTCCCCGACAACAGTTACATTATGGAGCCTCCTTACACTCACCTAACTCACTTAGAAGCCGAGTCCGAATGAATTTAAAAAAATTTTTTGGGACCCAGTCCGAATAGATAAAACCCATTTTCGGACTCGAGTCGAATAGATAGAAAATCTAATCGGACTCGTCCGAATAGAGCTGGCCACATTATATATATATAGTAGACCTATTATATCTAAGAAAATATCTTTTTGTGTTGAAGAGTCAGTGTGGACTAATGGAATTTCCGTTTTTCTCCATGTGGCATCATATCTGACCCCCCTTTGAATGCCATAAAAACGAAATATTTTCCTTTCAGGTTGTTGAGCAGCGGACTGTGAAAGACTCAGCTGGCAAGAAAAGACCAGCTTATGTTGTTCACTTTCAAGGATGGAACAGCAGGTAATTCCTTTCAACCGTCTGGAATTTTTATATTTTTTAATGCATAAATTACCTCCCCGTTTTGAACTGCTTGATATAGTATGGTATGCAACATCCCGAGCAGCCATGGGTTACAGTAATGTCTTACAGGAACATTGGATTACAATGGCAACGTACATAAATACATAATTAAACACACAAATATACTTATACGGAATACGCAATATCACACCAATGGAGAATAACTTAATAAACATGCCAAATTTGGTCACCACTGTGCAGCACCCTGTTTTTTTTTTTAGCTGGGGTTGTTGTGTCTTGCTCAAAGACACTCCCCAGTGACCACCCATCTAAATCCTGTCTCACCGACATTTGCTTGACATCATTTTTGAGTCTGCACCCAGAGTGTCCACTACTCACTATGCCACTGAGATTCTTAGCTCATTCCTTATCATAGCAATTGAACCTGCTCAAACAGCCACCTGTGGAGACAATCACCTCAGTACAAATTACTACTTCCCACTCCTCTGAAACGATTAAAAAAGTTATTATCATTGGTGGACACCTTAACTCATTCGGGACGCAGGTTTTGGACCAGATTTGCTCCCAGAGATGCACGATTTTGGGTCGACTTTGAAAGCCTGCCATTTTTTTCCCTTTTGATATTTTTAAAGTTTGTTTTCTCTATGTACACATTCAACATTTGGACTTTGCCTTAGATCTAACTCAACTTGCCTGGATATATTCCTAAACTTGCCTGGATATATTCCTAAACTTGCCAGGACCCCTACAAAAATGGTGTAGGGGACCCCGAACATTTTTTTGTCCCTCTAAATTGACAGTGAAGAAATGCAGAAACTAACAAGATAAAGTCAAAACACGACTATAACGCAGCTAAAAACACATCACCTCACAATTTACAGTCCAAATGCTGTGAAGAAATAGTTTCAGTCATTATGAATAGTCCTTTTTTGTATGGTACTCTTCGAAGATCCGTTTTCTTTATCGCCTCGACTACCTTCATATATCGCAACAGAAAATTTTTTTTAAACGACGCTGTACGGTTAATTTAAAAAGTAAATAAATACAAAATAAGATATGGCTTAGCGATGTCAACCAAAAGTTTGTTCCTTGGAATACCTTCATTTGTGCGGATACAACGGTCAAGAAATGCTATCGGACGTCCGATGCGTCGCCAGCAGAGCTCAAGGCTATCGGACGTCCGATGCGTCCCGAATGAGTCTAAGTAAGACAACCACTTTTTCTCTTGGACAATGAATGTGTGGCTGTCTGGGAGAGTTCTCTCTCTGTATTTTAAACTGGTACATTCATGACTGCCAATATATTGGCTCAGTGTGAAGAATGGGTTAACAAGTTAACACGTGTCTGTGAGTGATCATTTTGTTTTAGATGAATAGATTAATTTTACAGAAATCTTTGCTCTTTGTTTCCCCTCATTTTATTATTTTTTTGTGACTTTCAGAGATGTTGATCATTGGATAGATTTGCATGCCATGGATATATGAGAGAATCTTTCAAAGCAAAGATTGATTGTTAATGTTTTATGAGTCATATTGCGTATTTTGTATTTCTTTAAGCTGGGACCGTCAAGTTGGAGACAGCTACGTTTTGAGAGATACAGTAGAAAACAGAGAGCTGATGAGAAAACTAGCAGATACAGCCAAAAAATTGTGAGTGTTTTTTCCAGTTCAAGAAATGTTTATAGTTGGAATGACTTATTAATGTTGAGATGAGCGAATGCATGATTGATTTAAAATACAGGGTTTTTTTTGTTTTATAATGTTTTTTTGTTTTCTTGCTTGTGTGTATGACACCTAATATTATGTGTATAGCATATATGACACCATCTGAATGGGTGCTTATGTCACAATTGGACTATAGTTTTGAAGGTGATGAATATAACAATTATGCCTTTTTAGCTTGTCAAATTTCAGCTTAATATGCAAAATGAGGAATATGTTGTTTTCATTTTAATGTGGCTCTTGTTTTTTTGGGAAAGTCAAATAATGTTTTTCATGTGAGTTATTCAATAATTCCTGTTGTTCCATTTGTCTTTTCTTTTGTTGTTGCAAGATTATCAGTTTATTCTTTTGCCTTTTCTGTAGTTGTCGCAAGAACAGTCAAAGGAGACAAAAAATCAATGCAATTTTGCATCAAGCTTTTGGAGGAGCACCACCCGATTTTGGGAGCGTTTCTGAGAGTGATGATACGGAAGAAGAATCAGAAACTGGCAAAGTGAGTGGTAGTATTGGGTGTTTTGACGTTCTGTATATATTCAGTATTGTTATTTTTATTTTTTTGAGGGCTTGAATTGTTCTGTGAGGATTGCTTTATTCAGAGGTTCAATTAGCTTATTCATTTCATATGATCTTTAACATTTTGTCTTACTTATTAAGAAAGATAAAAGGTTTATATTTATATTGTTTTATGTGTCATGTCCATAAGTATATATTTATGTGTATATTTGAATTGGGTATATACGTAATTGTCTCAAGATTATTTTTTAAAAACTGTATCTGTTTTAGATATGTTGTTTGTATTCCAACTTTTTTTCAGAGACCTGGCAGAAGCAAATCAAGTCAAGATAAGAAAAAACAGGTATGAAGAAACAAAATACTGTACTTGTATATAATATGTTCAGTTTAAACTGTTTGACCTTTGTATTTTTTTTTGCATTGTATAAAACAATCCATTGATGTTTTATAAGTTCTTGAATTCTGTTGTTGTTTAAAAAAATCGCTTTAAAAAAATAGAATTTGTCTTTACATAAGATAATACTTTGAGATAACTACTGCTTTCCAGCCTGTTGCAATTAATTGCCCGTTTCCATGTTCATTTCTTGTTGTTTTTCTACTTCCAATAAAATCATTGTCACTCTCCTTTATGTTTCATCATGTGTATTGTTCTGACATTTTCCTTACTTCCGATCTCTTCCATGTAGAAAACAAGCCTGGTTGAATTTGAAATACCAGACAGCCTGAAAGTTCAACTAGAAGATGATTTTGTTCTAATAAATAAGAAAAGCAAGGTAAATTCTTAGATGCTTGTGGTTTTGTAGTCTTGGTTGCTCTCAGGATAACTTCTTCTGTCATATTGACTGCAAAAGTTTTATTTTCAGGAGTGTTTTTTTTTTTCTTCACTCAATGGCTATTTTGTTTTTATGCATTTTGATTCAATATTCCAATTCACGTCCTCTGAGAAAAAGCTAGAGTATATTTAGTTAGTGCATCTGTGTGTATTTACTGTAATTTTTGTGATTTATGAAAACACGTTCTGGTCCCTTTTTATATGCTTGCTTTGGGATTTTGCCATGATATTTATAAAATAACACTGGATCGTTTATGAATTTAGTCATGTTTAAGAGTTTCAAGTTTTGTTTCGATTTTTTTTTTGGTGCTCATTGCTTTAAGTCAACAGCTAAGAGTACCTTTGAATATTGCTTGTAGCTGCTAGAAACTGAAAGGCAAGTCCTCTTTATTACTGTGGTAATTAAGGTTATTAATGTAAAGACTCAGCTGTAATGAGAATTAAAGAGTGTCGAGGTCTATGAGGAGCAGATTACAGAAGTAGAAAAAAAGAAGAAAAAACAGTCAAGTTGGCCCCCCATTTTGAACTGCTTGGAATAGTGTGCAACATCTCGAGCAGCCATGAGTCACAGGTATGTCTTACAGGAACAGGAAACAGCTCACTAGGATTGTTATGATGCTCAAAAACTTGGGTAGCGAAATTTTGATGAAAATAAAACTAGTTTGGAAACTTTTTTCTTAAAATCTTTTCTTCATCCCACAGCTGACGCAAGTGCCTGCAAAGCCCTGTGTGGTGGATATATTGGAAAGCTTCATGAAGACGTTCTGTGTGAACTATCTGTGTGACCCCAGCGGGGGTCGGGAGAAGACCCGCAACAGCAGCAGCAAGCACACTCTCAAGTGTCCCCCAGACAAATGGTATAGTCAAAACGCTCGAAGTCATCTCTTAATTTTTTTTTCAAGGTGACTGCCAGACCTTAAGATTCCCTAAGGTGCTGGCAGTGACCAATGAATTTGAATAAAATCAGTGGGTTTCTAGGCAATCGATATACCTTGGATAATGAAGAGCCACTCCTTGAAAATTTTAGTTCTATTTAACAGTGGACCTGTTTATAGCTGGGGTACTTATGATCACTCTGAAGTCCATCATTCATCCAGAGTTTATGATCCCATCAATGAGTTGAGGAGGGGAGATCAAACCATAATCTTCCAACTTAGAACACAACATGTGCCCCTCAATCAACATCTTAACCGAATTGGAGTAAAGCAGTCTGCTGCCTGCCCAATATGTGACTACCCCTCAGAGACTGTGGAACATCATCTGTTCTTCTGTAGAAAACTAACAGATTTGAGAGGATATTTTCTTCCCAAGCTCCCCCACACGTCTAACTGCTTCTACTCCTCAAGACAACAATTAGAACAGACATGCAGCTATTACAGAATGGTATCATGCCGAAGAGTTAACGCTCAGATGCTTTTGGATTGCTAACAACAACAACAACATCCTGAGTTTGTATAGTTTGAAAAATGACTGGATTACCATTACTGGAACCTGTCTATTCATTTGAATTTTTGTTTTTTGGTTAAACACCATTATTGTCCAATTTAGAACACATTTCTGGATGGGTTTTACTGACAAACATTGATTAATGGCACATAAAATGTAACTTTTCAGTTTCCATTGACTGTCAAGACGTGGAAATAAACAATCTTTGGCAGCCATTTTCTAGCTAATTCTACCTTTGAAACCAAGTGACCCCATCTACTTCAATCTCAAATATCTTCTTTTCTGTTCAAGATAGATGTGCATTTTTTTTCACCAATAGCAAGACAACTGAACAAGATTTGAGACGATATCAATAACTATGTATACCCAAAAATTGACGAGTGCCTGGTTCCACCACGTTTTGACACATATTTTAACCCTCTCTATGTAATGGAAGCATAATGAAATAAAATTGAAAACCCAGTTGCTTGGATATTCATAGCCATGAGGGTACTGATTTTCCAGACAATTCTGGAAATGCTTAAGAAATAACTGGTAACCCACTGAAGGCACAATACTTTCCTAAGTCTTTGACATTTATTTAGTAACATTGTCTGCTAGAGATCATTTTATCCTCTATCAATGGCAAACACCCCCCCCCCATATACGGATCATTTTTATAAAATAATGCTTTAAGAATGTTTTGTTTTTGTAAAAAGACTTTTAAGCTTTTTAAATTAAGAAATAACCAAATAGATGGAGGAAAAGAAGCTCTTCAGTTATGTTCACATTTTGAAAATGGCTCACTTGTGGTAATTATTTTATGTTGCATATATCATTAAGAGTGAACTGTTGGTGTCATTACATGTGTTTTGTACAACTATTTTCTTTCCTCATCTTTTTTCAGTGTTTCCTTATGCAAAGAGTTTGTGGACAGCTTACGTGTTATCTTTGACTTCACCCTGCCTGTGATTCTCCTCTATGCGGCAGAGCAACAACAATATGAGACGGCACTTAAAGACATCAAACCTTCAGACTCATCTGGGAAAGATATGGACGGGTAAATGGAGACTTCAGAATAATGTTGTGTCAGTGCTTTAACTTTCGACCCCCCCTCCCACCCCCGCCCCCAACCACGGTGTCTGGAATTGTACACCTGTTCTCCTTTGTGCTGGATGTGCAGAAGGGTAAAGGTAGTTATGCTCAGGCGTTCACTTGGGTTCATAAGATTAAATGATATTGCTTTTTACTCAGTTATAATGTTTTGATTTTTCCAAAGACTATCAATCTAAGTTTGTTGTTGTCTGATAGTATGAATACAAGAAATTGTCCTCTAAATGTGCATTTATTGCTTTTTACACTATAAAATAGTAATATTAGATCATTACACATACACACACACACACACACACGCACGCTTACACATGTTTAGTATATATATCATTCTTTTTGAGAAATGAATGAAAGATGAGTTTTAATCTGCCATGGTAAGCTGAATGTAGCAATTTACTTTGAGTGTAGGTACCAGAAACAAAATTTTCAAAGTAGCAGTATGCCAATTTTATCTGTTCCATTTGAAAGGCCTATATCCACAGAGCATTTTGGTACCATTCTTTAACCTCTCAGTCAATGTCTAAGAAAATGGTAGTTGTTTAAAATTTGATCAAATTTGTTAAAGTCAGTCACTGGCTGCAACCCCATGTTTGACGGATAATAAAAGATTACCAAGTGCACTAAACATCTCCACATTAACAGAGTACAATCACTATAACAAATATATAGAGCCTAATTTTTTTCAAGATTGTGAGATCATTACAAATCAGTATTTTATCGCCTCAAACACAATGATCGGTCGTTATTTTGACAAAAACACCGAGCATTGACCCGGCCGGCGCCGCACTGGCCCCCGTGGCAAGCGAGTCGGCTCTATACTGTAGTGTACCCCGTGTGGGGGTCACATGCTTTTGGAGTCTCGCGGAAGGATTGATGCCAAATAATTTCAAGTGGATTACTTTATTCTAATAGAAAATAAACTGATGTTTTTATTGATACTTTTTTTGAGCCAGTATTTTACATATTTTGAGTAAAAACTGATCTTTAAAAATTTTGATGGTATTTTTAAAGGCTTTCAAGTTAAACGCCAAAGGCTAAAAATATACTACGGAAAAGCCCGTTTAAAACTCTACAGTTCTCCGCTAATGAACAGACGATATTTAATCATCCCTTGTTCCACGAAGCATTTGAATGCACGCATGTCAATTTTTTAACCAGCCGACCACGCATTCCGACCGCAAGGGGCTTCGCTTTCCTCGGCGATTCTCCAGCTCCTAATAATCGGACATATAAACAACTTACACCATTGTAACGAGGAAAAGCTGAATTTTTACAAGGTGTATGCATGGGTGCCAGACCTCCGGGCTGACAAAATTTCACAGCATCACTTTCCAGGTTGCATCGGGTCTTTAAAAAGGAAAAAAAAATTAATCGGCGAAAAAAAATTTGGCCGGTAACGATCGAGTCCGGCCAAGCGTAATGGACTTTTAAAAACTGGTATTGCGATATGCATGCAAGTTCCGGATGCAATATTTCGTTTCGTCTGTCTGATCACCGGAAACGCCGGTGGCGGGATCGAAATGATAAAATACATTACAATTACTTGGCTCAAATAAGGGGTGAACGGTTTCCAATCTAATTTTTTTTATCCCTTCGTTTTTTTTCATGAGTAGTTAGATCTGTTTGTGCGAAAACCGGGATCAATGTCAGTGAGACGAAAGCTAAGCCAGCGAGTGGTCGCGTCGTAAGCTAGCCTACCGCAGACCTGCCACTCAAATCTCAAGCATCGCGATTTTCCCGATTTCGATCGCCAGTGTCCTGATTTTTTTGTCGTTGGGTCTGTTGCGTCTGATTCTTAGAAAAAAATATAAAAAGTTCTGCAATCTCTTTTGCTTGGAAGCACCGATTGAGCTTTTTGTCGGCAGGAACTTGGAATGCTACTTTCTAAAGCATCTATGCCGAATCTAGTAGATGACTCACGCACGTTATTTCAACTAAAACTGACGCAGTATCGATTTTGAATTCCGACATGGATACGCTCAAGGTCTACTTTCGCTTTTATAACCCAGTATTCTCCTATGGTGTCCTGATTACAGTAACAATTATGACATGGCATAAAGAATAATCCATTCGTTGTTCTGCCGTTGCTTTAGAAGCAAGCTTCGTCTGAGTTCTGGTTAGTCGGGCCCGTAATCAAGACCTGTCAGTGGAACTTTCAAACGCTCATTCTCTTCACCTGATATGACCTCGTATGTGTGAGTAGCGCATGTGTTCGGGGACTGTCGGGGTCAACAAAGTTCATTCACACCGGTCGCATTGGTCGAGGTGTTTTTAGGGACTTAACCAGTGTGGATGGCCGGGGGGGGGGGGGGGGGGATTATTGTTTTGACACTTGGGCTTAAAGTGCGTGCCGTGATACATGTACTAATTGAGAACAAAGTAAAGGAATAAGAAAAAAAAATGAACAACCTTGTTGCAATCTTTTTTTTCGGGGGGGGGGGGGGTGCCTTGAGTGTATATACAATGGAAGTCAAATGTTACTGTATGAAAACGCTGGCTTTTTCCGTGGATGATTCGAGTTATGAGTCAGCTATTTTCAAGACTACGAGAGTTTCAGCTTTACTGCAATCTGCGCTCCCCCAGTCTATCCAACTCCGACTCGAGTAATGCTGTCTTTCTGTTTTTCCTCTATTTAGAGGCCCAAGCGTGAACTTATTCCTGCAAAAGTTTTCTCTTGCATACTTGTCTCATAAAAGGCAACCAGGAGACCCCCCCCCCCCTTCCCCAGTACCCCTTATGACTGATTTGCCGTTGATCCCGATTTTGTTCACCAGATCCTGATTTTTTTACTCGAAAATCTTGATTTTTAGATTTCATAGAGTGGCAGGTCTGCGACCGTCAACCTCGATTAATTCAAATAGATTTCTAGATCTGTGCATGCAGCTCTGTTTGATTTTTGAAGATTAAGTTTCTAGATAGACCTGCTTCTATGGAGGAATTGGAGGAAAGTGTAAAAAATAAGTTGCGTTGGCAATGGTTTGATGAAATTTTCTATGATATCAATGTTTCTGTGTGGTGTAGGAAAGTCTAACAACCCGGTGCATGCTTTTGCCTTAGTCAGGCAATCTCCAAGACCCTTAAAAAAAAACTAAGACCACCAACATAACTGCCTTCTTTAAGAAAGTGTGAGCTTGGACTCTGCCTCCTTGTGGATAAGGAGTAAGAATGGTATCCACTGCTGGACCCTAGCATGCATCGTAAAAGTTGACTAAATGGTTCAACAAGCAACATACAGACGGCAAGGAAGGAAGAGTTTTCAATTATTTTTAACAGGGTTGGGAAAATTTTGGATCTGGGTTTTCAGGGCTGTTAAAATTTTTAACTGGCACCCATGGGTGTACGGCATTTGGTGTTTTATAGAGAAAGGGCAAAGAAACAGCGACCGGAATTACCCCGATTTCGCCGATACCACGCGGCCGGGGCATGTGCCCGCGAGGCCGTGTTTATGCTATCTATGCAAAGGCTATCTTCTTTCGCTCATAATGGTCATTCTTTCCTGATCTCATCTAAAACTGATTTATTAAACCAAAAATTTCTTTGAATTACAGTCAATCTTCTTTATTTTTACTGTGTAAATAGTTGATTTCATTATTTATGTGGGTGGTTTGAGAGTGTTGCTAGTAGGTTACTCCTTTATCATCCCTCTTTTGCAACTGTCTGTCTTATTTTTTTTCTGGTGCTAAATAATTGTTATTGTGTTGATGTGCTTCTTGTACTCAAATGGACAAACATTATGTGCAGAACTTCTGCTCAATTATCCTTTCTGTGTAGGCAACATTTAAGGGTAGTGATCTCATTCTTTTTCCTTACTTGATCTTTAATTTCCTCAGTTCATCCAATGAAATGCTTCAAAGAGGAGAAAGATTCACTTCATCATCCTCGCATCCTAAAGGTAAAAGTGAAAAACTGAGTAAGCAGCAACAGCAGGAGCTGTCCTCTCCAGTTCCCTCGTCCCATTCATCGACTTCATTGCCTCAGGACAAAGCCCCTCTGCGCCGTGTCACTCGCCAGGCTGCCATGGACGTCCCGCGGTCAGATGTGGCCCATGGCACACAGCAGCAAAACTCCCAAAACTCGCCCCACCCACCAAAGTCAAGAAACCCTTCAGGACACAAGAGTCCGAAACATCCTGGCCATTCATCCCCCAAGGCGACCCGCAGACATGATAAAGATTCTGTGGAACTCCACCACTCTGAGCCTATCATCCCCATTGCCTCGCGTACAAGACGACGGTCCCAATTTGACACTGCGGAAGTTTCTGGGGAGGTGCTGGTCAAACAGGAGCCAGGAAGTGATTCAGAGATAGAATTGTGCTTACCCACGCTACCGTCTCCATCACAGGTGAACTATTTATTTCTTTGACTATTCCTTACCCTGGGGTGGTTGGTCCTTCCTCTTTTCTTTGCTCCTGTTGTTTCAGCCTCTTGTCTGTCTTACCTTTGACCTCCCTGAATGACTGGTATCGTGTTAAGGTGCTTATCTTTGTTCATACTACTAATTGCTTTTGAAAATCGAACGATAGAGAAAGTAACTGACTGATTGCATTCTCCATTACCTGGGAAGAGTAGGGGATGATCTTTCCATAAAATATGGCAATGTGTATGATAGTACACGGCTTCATATGTTGAATGTACTTATATATACAACTCTTGTATTTAATACAGTGAAGTCTGCTAAAACCTAAATCTGCAGGACTTGGATTTTGTTCAGTTCAATTGGGTTTTCAGTTTAGAGAGGCTACTCAAATGAAAGGGAAAAAAATAGATTTTATTTCTTTCCAGTTATTGCTGTTTTTGGATTAAGGGGATCCACTGGTCAGATCAGTAAAAATTTAGAAAAAAATATCAGTTTTCGGATTTTGGAGTATCTTAATAGATATCAATATCAAGGATCCATCTTTAGAAGCCTAATTCCTTATCAAACTTAGAAATAGCTGGAAAATGCATTTGAGAGAGGTAGCAATGTAGGAAAATCTTCACCAAAAATTATCTCTCTTTGCAGTTTTCTCAGAATTGTTTATCTGACCAGGTAGCAACACTATATTGAGTAGATCTCAGAAAGTTACTGTCAGAATTGTTTCAAATTTGCACACAATCTTTTATGCACATTTCTCTATAACCTTACAGTAGCATTTTTCTTTTTATGGAACACCTTTGAAATTTTAGGCCTTTTTTATTTTACAAAATCTGAAAATATTGGAGACCTGAATGTAGTGCATAACAAGGACTGTAAGGCTCACAAGTCAGTACAAAAATTTCAAATTTGGCTCTGTAAGGTTGTTCTACCTACCAACAGTAATCGCCATGCCAAATATTAGGCTTCTATCTTGAAGCATGTTGATGATTGACAAAATATAAAATTGGTTTTAAAAATGCTGAATCAATCCTATATTTTTGATGGCTCGAGATTATCATTGCTAAAATCTTGAATTTTTTGCTTGGTAACCTTTTTTTGTACTATGTCACCCCCTTTGATGCAGAAAAGCAAGCGTTAGACCAAAAAGTATAGCATTTGGGTGTTGACCATAGCTACACCCCCTTAACCATTTTCAGTGTGAGCGGACTCCTTGGTAGTTAAAAAAAAGTGTGAAACGTTTTCAGGACAATTGTCGTTCTGAAAAGTTATTTCTTTTTTTATAGTTGTGTTTGGATTTGGTTTACTGTTGAATACTTTTGTAAAAGTGATCATAGGACGGACAAGCACATCGATGAACGGGTTGTAGTTTCATCATAAGTCATTTTTGTACTTACTTACATGTTGTTCACACAGCCCGAGGTGGTCACAACGAATGGTCTGGAAGGTGCCTGCTCCGCGGCGGGCACGGAGAGTATGACGATGGGGTCATCTAGAGGTCGTGAGGATGCCATGGACAGAATTCTAGGCTGGCAGTTATTGCCGCACGACGTCAAGGTCCGGAACCCCATTACCCCGTCGCAGATCTATGGCATTGTTCATTTGCTACGCATGTTTGGTATGTAAATATATATATTTTTGCAACCTGTAGGGGAAGATAAGAAATTTCACTCCATACTTTTTCATTTGAAGCGTAAAATGTGTGTTTTTGTGATATTTTTTATTAATACCTTGTTACCATCACAAGGGTCATAGTAAAAACCCTTGCTATCATAGGCAAAGGCATTTTGGGGGAAATCCAAAGAAATTGGGTGGTAAACATTGCCGATCGGCGAGATGTGACAGCAAAGTGGTAAACTTGGAAAATTTGCTAAAAATCTTTTATCAGTTTCAAACTTGCAGCATGCAATTTTCCAAGACAGACAATGACATTTATTTCCAGAGTATTGAACTTTTTCAATTTTATTCCGAACAGCGGAATGTGGGGCAAATCCACATCTTTTCACAAAAGTGGATCAGAATATGCAAACAGACAAATTAAATAAAAATGAGTTAATTCTAGCTATGGAAAAAGAGGGAACACAGTAAAAACCCAAACATAATGTTGATCTTCCTTGTTTAAGTGAAATGTCAAAACAAATTTTAGGTGGTGAAATCCCCACTCCCGCGTTTCACCATACACTTAGATTCTTGCTTGATGTTTCTTTTTCTTTTGTCATCTCATTTGGAAACATTATCAAATATCTCACTTTTCCTTGTGCAGTGTGGCCAGATAGGGTCCATAACCTTATACTTAAACAGTGAATAGGTAAACCTAGGAATAGGAAAAAAATTGTTTAAACATACATGCATGTGATATAGAACATTTTGGGGAATCATTAATGCAAGACCATTTTTTGGGGGGGAATCATTAATGCAAGACCATTTAAAATGAATTTGTTTTATAGAGCATTAATATATCTTAAATATCTTAATATCCTTAAGAAGCTGAAAACGCATTATTTCTGAATGCCAAACATTTTTTTTCTTTTTGAAGTTATCAGTTTGATTTGTTATGGCATTTGAGGTATGGTTTTTATCACATGCATTTGATTTTAAACATTTTTCTGTCTGTCTATTCCAGTAAAGTTACCAGATCTCCTAAAGAAAATGAAAATGAAAGAAGTCCAACTACAAATTATCATCAAGTTCATTCACCATTGCCTACAGTAAGTTTTTGCTTTCAGTATGAGTCACACTTTTGCTGACTGTTAGTGATTTGTTAATTTTAATTTCTTTATCTTGTAAAAATAGCTGTTTTTATCCTGACTGTTATGAAAAAGTCCTTTTTATGGTAATTTATGAACATAAACAGGTTCCTTTTATAATTCCCAACTTAAAATTAGTATAATTTCTGTGAAAGATCTTTCTTGGTGGTCCATCCTGGAGTGTACCAATTTCTGAAAGGGTGATTTTTTCTACTGATCCAGCCTCTTGTTGGGACATTAGTTTTATCAGAAAATTGAGAATTCTTTCTTGTGAGGAAATGGCTTTTTGCACAAAACAGTGGAATGTTATTGGATTATTTTAATGAGCACTGCTTCCTTTGTGTTGTGTTGAGCTTTAAGGAGTTTACTTTATGAGTTAATTTTCCTGTAACTCTTTTCTGCTGTATTTAAACTGTCATTTTCTGTCTGTCGATATTTATCGCGGCCCTAGATTTTGTTATAAGGTCTCTTATAGCAGAGTTAGGGTAGATGAGCCGCTCCGGATGTCCAAGTCAGTGTGTCTTATACCATTCTCATGGGCTCGACCAGCCTTCTGCTCCAGAGTAGTTATAACTGTTAATGCTTCAATCTTTTGACTCACTCACTCAGTCTCGTGACCGAGATATCTCAGTCAGTTTGTGGAGTGCATTCAATCCCACGACCGAGATGACTCGGTTCTATAGTTTTGTTCCGTATACTAGTTATTTCGTTTAGGAAAACGGCCTCAAGTTTTATACAAGGTCAATTTATTATTTCCCCGACCAGTTCTGCGTAGAGGGCTGCTGTAATTTTATTTCTACTGTCATTACACTCGCAGAAATCGCGGTTTTTATGAAAGCACTTTCAGCACGTTTGTTCACACTGATCAGCTGAGCATGTGTCGCAATCTATTCTCTCTGCCTTTCTCAAACATAAATTTTTTTATTCATGAAAGTATTCAACAGTCTTTATTATACATGACGTACAATATATAGATTTAGACGCTCACAAGCATATTTGAATATCAATGTTGACTTGCTCATTCCGCCACGAAAAAAAAAAGAGAAGCCCCAAAAATGCCAAATTTGTACAACACCCCGAAGCAAAACTACTAACGCTACATACTACAAATTTGGTACGTCTAAAGTTCCATCTCAGGTTATACTTTGTGCCTAATTTCAAAGCAATTGGAGGATATTTATGGTTACTTGTGGGCCCTTACATAAGTGCCAAAATGACCGGTTTCTGGGTTCTTTCGGGAAAACCCCCTGGATTGAGTGAGTTAATCTTATATATATTTTATGTAATATACAAACAAGAAAGAGTGGCAGTTGGACAACCCTCTAGTGTGGATTGCTACACATACTTCTTTCTTATCAAATGTCTATCATCCTTAGCTCCCTTCCTTTTCTTCTTTGTATGTTACTCTCTTGTAACACTTCTAATCTTCGACACTCATATGAAGTAACACTTTTCAGGTACTGAGCATAAAGAAAATAAGAAAGAAAAACAAGGAAGTTTTATTTTGTTTGTGTTTCCAGGTACCTTGTTGATCATCAGAATGAGCTGTTTCACGACCAGACCTACGTGAAGGCATGACCACAGCTATTTCTTATGTGTGTGAATCAACTGAGGATTTGTAGAAATCAAAAGAACAAAATTGTTTTTGCCTGTTGTGGAATCTGATGGTAATTTGTTTACCACCATTGAGTGAGTGCATACATGAAAGGTAGATCTCGATGAAGTACGGACGAGATTTTTGATATTTGAGAACCAGTTTTTTTCTCAAGTTTATCGCAGGAAGTGTTCTTTTTGACAGGTTTTTCTCCTCTGGCTATTGTTGATCCAGAGAATGTTTGGGTATTCCGGGTTTTGTTTTGTTTTTGCATTGTCTATTGACCGTTGCATTGTCAATGGTTCTCTCTTCAAGTGTTCATGTCACGGTTATTGTGTTGACTCTGAAAATTTTTCTGTAATACTACACTGTTGATGCTTTTATGAAAAGTTTGTATATTTGTGAATGTAGGATCTTTTCGAAATTGTACAAATGTTTCTGTCAGGTTGTACAGATGATATGAATGCTCCTCCGGCAGCTTGGTTTGTTTTCTTGTTTATTAGCTCATTAAAACTGTTCTGGTGGTACAACGCCCTGCAGTCTCCACAATGGTCTCACCTCGCGAGCCATATATAGGAACGGCATTGTTTACTGGGGTTTTTTTTTACAAGATGGCCTCAAGGAAATAAAAGGGGACAAGTTTACTATAAAATGAAGTTTGCCCATTTTTAAACCGGTCTTCTTTCATGTAGAGCGTGCAGAAGTTGACATAAACATATTTTGTCCCTTGTGTTTTGGAAGTAATTTAAGGCTGCATGTTCTGGTAGCGCAATAAAAAGAATTATTGTACTATTTTGTGCTTTCAATTCTAATACCGAATAGAAAAATAGTGGTTGGCATTAGAGTTTTAGTTTTCTTTTTTGTTTCATGTTTGTGTGGATAGTTTCTACCTTTATTTGGGGAATCTATTACAGAATTAAAATATAAAAAAGACTACCTCAAAATACAACTCCCCCACAGTGCAAATCAGGAATCGGAGTGAAAAATCTCAGTGAGTTGATGTTTCTCATCACTGTTTCATGCATATGAGACAGTGGAACATCACCTTTTCCTCTGTACAGCCCTAAATGACATCAGAGTCAGAGCTGCACTTCTCCCTCTGAGACCTAACTTTGACAACACACTCTACGGAACATTACAGCAACTGCAACAAACCTGCACTTATCACAACATGGCATCGGACAGAAGGGCGAGAACCCAACTGTTGCTGGATCAATAACAACAACCGCAACAACAACACCAATGTTTGATGTCTCAGTTGGAACTGAAGTTCATCACATTTTGGTAAAAATGAGCTAAACATTTTTAAATACTGTGGTACGGTAGGAAAAATCTGATTGATTACATCAAATAACTGAGACTTTTTAAAGTTAGAATATGACTGTTAGATTTGTAGGTTCTTATTGATTTTAGTAGGCTACTTTTAAAAAAATGGAACTTCTGCCCCGTCCATCGTTAAATGCATTCATATATATACATACATGTTTCTTCTTTTTGTACAATATTTTAGGGTTGTTTTTTTTTTCTATTTTATGTATTTTGTTCCACCTTGTATCACATGCTAAAAATCATCTTTCATAGAAGGACACACTCTAAGAGATGTCTAATACTAATATTAATAATGCATGGGTAGTGTGTCTAAATGAGTGTCCGCCATATTTTCATTGTTTTTCCAGATCCAGTTTTTCTGTTTTTTATGGTTACGTTTTTTGTTGTTGTTATATTTTGAAAAAATGAATTTTTTTTTTTTTTCTCTTAGTATAGATATGTTTTTGTATGCTTTAGTTTTAGTCATTGTAAAAGTTTACATGGTACTTGGCAGGTACTTTATTCTCTTCAATTTCTTTTTCTTGTGTTACTTTTGTCTAAGTTTGTGTCTTGGCCTACGTGCCTAAAGTATTGAATATAATAGCAGTGATGGGCAAACTATAGCTTGTGGTCCAAATTCGGCCCCCCATAAAGTTTTGTAGGGCCCATGGAGAAATGTGAAGAATTGTAAAAAAAAGTGAAGAATGGGTACATTTTCATAAAGTAATCGTATTTGTCATGGTGCTTGAGCGAGATGTATACTTTATAAAAGTGTTTTTGAGAAATTTACGCCTTTTGTCTTTTGTTTTCTCAATAAAAGAAAAGTAAGGTTACTAGGCACATTATATCCAGTTTTGAAAGGTTTTGCTGTTCATTGCCCAGTCAAAGTGACCCTTAATCCAAATAGTTTACACATCCCTGAGTTTTATTCTGAACTGTCAGTATGTGTGGTTGTCACCTTGAGCCTGTTTCGTGTCTTCAGCTGACAATCACTAGGCCAGCAGTCTTAACTCTTTAACTTAAGGATGTAGCAGACATATATATATATCTGCAACTAAGAGCTCAGCAGCAAGGTTGCTGCAGCATATTTCGAACCATCATGCACAGAGTCAGACAGACAAATTTGCATAATCAATAATATGCATGTTTTCCCCTGCCCTTTCAAAGTTTCAGATTATAAAGAAAACAGTATGGAAAAGTCTGTATGAATAATGAAGTCATGCTTCTTTCTTAAAGGGCCCCCAAAACAGCGCATCGTCAATGTGTTAACCTTGTTGGAGGTACTAAACCCTGTAAGTTTCATATGTGTGCTTTCACAGAACCCTTGGAGTGGGGTGATTGGAACAGACACATACATGCACAATTTGTGTGTGTCTTGACCTCTGCCAAACTCCCCGAGACTGACTCACAGGACCCCTGGGGTTAGATTGAACCCAGGTTTATAAGAACCACTGATCAAGGCTGTACCGTTTGTGACCTAGATACGCTGTAAGGTCTTTCACCTAGTTGTGGCAGTTGTAGTGTTTGTGTTTTAAAGTCAATCATTTTGTCCTGCCTTATTATGACATTTGGAAAGATTTCCTTGGATTCTGTTAGTTCTTTTTAAAAAATTCTCAGTGTGCAAGCCTGTTCATCATATGTATACATCAGAAGAAATACAAATTGCCTCGTCACCTTTTGTATTTTTTAAAATGAGTTGTCAGTTTAGTGGCATGTATTTGTCTATCACTATCAATGACAGTCAGGTCATGTAAGGAGTAAGAGGAAATGTCTTTCTTTATATTATGCAGACTGACCATTTTGGTTATAATTTTGGGTGAATATAAGACAGTTTTGTTATAACAGAAGGAGGAGAGCACATTGTTCCTGGTTTATTATAGTAGATCTGCAGGGATAAGTAATGTATAACCCATCCCCCCCCCCCCTCCCACACACGTTTTCACACATCATGACGATCACAGCCCACTTTTTCCTGTTCCTGGGAGACATAACGGCGACCCTTCAGTGACCCCCAGATGTTGCACACTAGATCAATATATCAACAAGTTCAAAATGGGGATTATTATATGTTTACTGGTCTGTATTTCCACAATAAGAGACTTTAATCCCTCTACATGTGTGATTATGTGCCTGGGGTTTTAATTTTTAAAAACCCACACAACTGAGGAGTTATGAACATTATAAAGAAAAGCATAACGAAAGAATGAGTGAGACTGAATCGTAATAAAATTTCTTAACATGTTTTGACTTGTTGGTTTACTTTGGCTCTGTAGTTGTGTTCAGCTGGTTGAAGTTGGAAGGCGAAACTTTTTTTTCTTTCCGTCTGTTGTTTTTGTCAGTCTTGCTTTTTACCCAGCACTGTTATAATTGTTATTATGTCAGTGTGGTTCTTACATCTCTTAACTATGACTCACACACCTGTTGTTATGAATGATATATGCTTCAGACCATTATTTGAATAGTCGAACCTGCTATAACAGTAACAGCCACCTGTATAAGACAATCACCTGTACAAACTGCCACTTCCAGTTTCCTTCTTTGCGCGTTGCTTATTTTATATTTTATTTTTATAAAGACACTGTGTAAGACGTCCACCTATCTAGTATGGTCAGTTTTCTCCTCAACAATGGATGGTTGTCTTAGACAGGTTTGACTGTATTCAGCTGCTTGGTGTGTGTAAGGAGCTCTACTATTCTTTCTGGGGAAAACCCAACAAAACACAAACCCAGCCAGGTACATGATTTGCAAATCATCGTTTTGCTTCTTATTCCTGTCGTAACCGGCATCTGTGGTGTAGTGGTAAGGCGCTTTGCCATTGCATCAGAAAATGCGGGTTAGATTCTTGTGTGGGCTAGTAGGGAAAATTTTAATACGTTATTTCGGTCTTTCTGTACGGACGTTTTATCCCTCTCTGCCTGGGATGAGTGAGTTTGATGGGCAGGGTCGAAGCTCACCTACAAAATGATCTAAATTGTGTCGATGAGGGCATAAAAACACCGATACCGAAAAGAAAATACTATCGTAAATTAAGGCTCTGCAATTTTTATATATATAGGGCTCATATTATTATTGTCATGATTGCTGAATGATCACGTGAGTACTTGTAGATGGTGGGCGGTTACTCTGATGTGTTTTGTGTCTTCTTTCCTAAAAAAAACAAACACCCGTCGTCCTTATTTCTCCTTTTCTTTGTATGTTACTGAACCCTCTAGCATTGCAAACCGCTTATACGATTTTTTTTACACTGACCAATACTATTTGCTGGATAATGAACAAATTAAACTTGCATTAAATTACTGGGGGGGGGTTGGCTTGAAGAATCTTATTTTTGACTGCCCCCGAGACACAGCTAGGGGAGAAAAAGGCAGGTGCATAGAGTTTTTGCGTGAAATTCATGAAAAGAAATGTAAATAAGAAACAGTCTCTGAGTAACACAAGTTTTTCCGAACAATTTTGTTTCTATTTTCTGTCGGTCTATCTTTGTCCACTGCACTAAATAGCCTTTGGTGTGTCCATGTGCTTTTTCTCTCATACAAAGACAAAACATCAAACAAACCAAATGAAATAACATTTCTTGTTGAGGTTGTCTGGATTTTCCCAGCATGACTATTATTGTATCTATGTGCTTTTCTCTACTCAATCTCAAACTCAAACGCAGTAGAGCCGAGTTCGAATCTGGATTGGGGAATTTTTTTAAAAATCGAGTACCGGTATCTAACTCCATCTTACTGCTTTCTACTGGGATGTGCATGTATCCCTTTACTACGCCCAGGTTGGACTTGATAGGGAGGGTCAGATGCCTGCTTCCTTAATTGTCATGTCCTCAGAGAAATTCGCGCCCGCAACCCGCAAGTTGCGCGCGCAACTTTTGCCCTCAGCGCAGCTTTTGCGCAACTTTTGCGATTTTCGTGAATTCGCGAATTTTAGCCAATATCCCGCAAAATGTGGAAAAATAATAATAAAATTTAATTAAAAGCACCGACATTTTCTTCCACGACTAAAAATAATGACGCCAAGGGGGACAATTAGCTCCTTTGCACTACGGGGTGCCCGCACAGAATTCTACACTTATAGAACGGGAACTGTACCACGTGACCTGTGAGGAATTGAAGACCGAAAACAATGGCGTCTTGAGGGCACGATTTATCGTTTTCGGAAGTAACCCTATAGCTTTTAAAGCAATAGCGGCTTTTACAAACGAGTGAAAAGTGGAACATTTACTGTCCAGTTTGTAATTTTGAGTTACAGAATTCACTGTGCAACTAGAGATTAGAATTAAGGTTTTAAAATGTTGTGTTTTTGGGTGCAACAACAGAAACAGCAGACATAGAGAGTTTATAAATATAAGATCTACAGAACTGTGAAAAAAATCGTAACACGGATGGGATTGTTCACAGCACTTCTAGCTTCCCACACACATTTTGCATACGCATATGGCCTACGTAATTTTTTAGTAGCAAAACTTGTTACAAGAAATTTGTTTTACACTGAACATATTTTTTCACTAGATCTAGATCTAATTAATGTTCTCAAAACATGCGTTCAATGAATAACTTTATGTCGCCAGCAGAAGTAGAAAAAAGGACGGACTTGCTTTTAAAAGAGATTTAGCTCCAGCTATAAACTTTTTAAAAATCTGTAGAAACCATTGACTGGGATTTTTTTTTTATATTGGGCTTGTATTTATTAAAGAATTTTCTTTAAAGAAATTTCTACAATAATATAGAACTTATAGATGTGTGCAAATGTTTGAAAAAAATACTCATCGGTTAAGACGAATTGATATAGATCTAAGTCATTATGTAAAAGTAGGAGAATCTAGACCTAGGTGTTTGATAGTTCAGTAGCCTAGATATTTGATAATAAGTTGCGCATCAAATTTTTGACCGCATGCTACAGTAGTAGATATAGCGTATTATTTTCATCCGAAACATTAATTTCCGCATCCAAACACCTTTTTGGGCCTTTATAAGCACATGTAGTCCTACTTTAATTATGTTACTTTCATAATTGTTTTTGAAAGCATTTTCAATTCCTTTCACTTTCACTTCCCACACGTGGGCTCATATAATTATGATTATAATTTAAGATTCCAAATCTGACGAATGTATTATTAAATAGTGTATAATGCTGAGTTAGCAAATGCATTGCAATGCGCGCTATTATAAATTATTGAATTGTAACTAGACTTCAATTTGATCCGTAACAAGAGACCACTTATTTTTTTATACGTGTTCATGAATGTGTGTTTGTTTACTGTGTGCGGGGATTAAAAATTAAAGATTAAAGATTCCAGATTTGACGAATGTATTTATAAAATAGCGTAATAGTGCTGGATTAACCGATGCCTTGCGATACACACTTTTATCAATTAATTGAATTGTAACAGGACTTCGATTCGATCTGTAACAAGACAACACTTATTTTTTCTTATATATACATGTTCAAAAATGTGTGTTTGTTTACTGTGTGCGGGGATTAAAAATTAAAGATTCCAGATCTGACGAATGTATTTATAAAATAGCGTAATAGTGCTGGGTTAGCCGATGCCTTGCGATACACGCTTTTATCAATTAATTGAATTGTAACAGGACTTCGATTTGATCCGTAACAAGACAACACTTATTTTTTCTTATATATACATGTTCAAAAATGTGTGTTTGTTTACTGTGTGCGGGGATTAAAAATTAAAGATTCCAGATCTGACGAATGTATTTATAAAATAGCGTAATAGTGCTGGGTTAGCCGATGCCTTGCGATACACGCTTTTATCAATTAATTGAATTGTAACAGGACTTCGATTTGATCCGTAACAAGACAACACTTATTTTTTCTTATACGTGTTCAAAAATGTGTGTTTGTTTACTGTGTGCGGGCATTAAAGATTCCAGGTCTGACGAATTTATTTATTAAATAGCATAGTCCTATAGGGCAGGGGGTGGCCAATGCATTGCGATACGCACTTTTATCAATTAATCGAATTGAAACAGGACTTCAATTTGATCCATAACAAGAGACCACTTATTTTTTCTTATCGTGTTAAAAAATATGTGTTTGTTTACTGTGTGCGGGGATTACAGGGGGACAAGCCCATCCCCTCGACATGTGATCCAGGGTATGGGGATACATTTTTCTCAAAATGCACACAGCTCTGAAATCCTTGATCAGTGATCATTCGCCATGGCACTCTTTCTGTTGTGACTGTAGACACAAGTTTCTTCATTATCACATCTAAATGAGCCTATCATTCATGCATTAGAAATCACACTCCCAACACACAGAAAATGACTTTGAACATATATTCAGGAAACATATGCCAGTTCCACTCTTGTTTACTTTGTTTTGCATTATTGGCTTTTATGTGTAAACCAATATTTTGAGGCCTTTTCTGCATTTTTGTGTTTTTGGCAGCATGTACAATAGGCCTATGTATTTTATGTGCAACCGACACATTCTCCAATCTCTTGTATTTGTTAGACTCGCGCGTGCTTTAAACAAAGCATGTTAATGTTAATGTTGGTGTATGTACACACTACTGATGAAAACACAGAGATGAATTTTTAAATTGAGAAATAATACATTTCCTCAATATAAGCTCAATTTATTTATCTCTTTCTAGTAAATTGGAGAAAAGGCTTATATTGTTCTTTTTTGCTTGCTTTGGATGGCCTTAAGTTTAATGACAATATTATTGCAATGAGCATGTTACTGCCAGCGTCCCCTTATCGTAGATCTAGTACTAATCAAGACTAGATCTATATCTAGATATTTTGCCAACAGAATTAATGTTCATAATTAGTTAATTAGTGTTATTATCAAGTGTATTGTGATTGTGAAGATCTTTAATAGATCTAGATCTAGATATCTAGAGATCTAGATCTATCTTGATCTAGATCTAGATCCCATCCGGCCATCCCATCATTAAAAAAAGCAACAAACCAACAATACAAATACATTGTAACATTGCCAAATATGACATATTGTAGGCAATAAAAATGTACTAGACTATTTCACTATATTTCCTCTTCGAAGAAAGTTTTAAAATACTGATGTAAGGTGTCTTCCAAGCCCTACCACTAGCATCAGCGTGCATAGCAACGCGAAGCCTCGCTGTGCGGCGCAGCCAAAGGTGCCCTCAACCGGCCGCCATGTTTTAGTTTCAATTCCTCACAGCGAATCGGCGATCGCGAAGAGGGAGTTCCGCTTCTATAAGTGTAGAATTCTGTGGGTGCCCGCCGCCGC